CCCCCCCCGCTGCTCCCTATCCCACAATGTGACCTGCTCCCCACACACACACCCGCTCCCTACCCCCCAGTGTGACCAGCTCCCCACCCCCCAGTGTGACCAGCTCACCCCCACTCCCTATCCCCTAATGTGACCTGCTCCCCACACACACACCCGCTCCCTATCCCGCAGTGTGACCAGCTCCCCACCCCCCCCCCGCCCCCCTCCCCCAGTGTGACCGGCTCCTCAGACTCCATTCCCCTACCGCCATTGCCCAAGGCGGCCGGTTCCTCAGGCCCCAGCTCCCTCCATTCCGCCCGTTCCCCCGGAGTGCCGAGGTTCCCGCGCGCCGCCCCCACTCGCCCCAGCAGGCAGCCGAGGCTCCGTCCGCGGGTAGCCCCGGCGACTCCCAGGGCTCCGGCGCCTGGGCGGCTGCGGGTCCTCCCGGCGGTTTCCCAGCCTGCACCGCGGCGCGGCGGCGCTCTGGCCGGCCTGTCGCTGTCACCGCCAGGAGGAGGCCGACGCTGCTGCGCTCCTCGAGCCGCCGAGCAGGAAGGAGCCTTCGCCGCCGCCGAACTTTCCCTCAGGGCCCACCATGCCCGGGGCAGCGGCCCGGGGACTCTGAGCGCCGCTCCCGCCTTCCCCTCGCAGCGCCGCGGCCGGTAAGCCCCGGGGCGCGGGGGAGCTGGGTCGGCCCGGCCGCTCACGCACAGGGAGGAGGGAGGAAGAGAGAGAGAGAAGCTGGGCCTCGCCGCTCCCTGTGCGCGGCGCTGCGGGCCAAGCGGCCCGGAGGCTCTGCGGAACCCCGAGCGGGGCGGGGGAGGCCGGAGACCCCGCGGGGCGGGGGAGGCCGGAGCCTGAGGAGGAAGAAGGGGGGGGGCGAGGAGGCTTCCACCCCCCCTTTGTTGCTGTGGAGGGTGAATGTGAGGGGAGCGTCCTTCCGCCCCCCCTTGATGCGGGCGGCGCTCGGGGCTTTCCCTGCCGGAGTCTGAGTTCGGGGCAGGAGGCGGAGTGAGAGCTGCTGGGCTGCTGCTCCGCCGCGAGCGGGGCTCGCACTTGGGGGACTGACAGACAAAGACGGAGGAGTGAGATTCGGGGGTACGGAGACAGACAGACCTAGAGACACCCCCCTCCTCCCATTATCTATTGTTCTCGGGAAGGGGAGCTGCTGATTTGGGGATTTAATCTTCCAATGCGCCCCCCCGGCAGCTTTGCGAGTGGTCTCTCTAGTGTCAGGAGCTGCTAACAAGTGCCTGCTTGGAAGTCCTCAGACAAGAGAGAGAAAAAAGGGGTGGAGGAGTTGTGACGGGTATTTAATTGCGATTTAAACTCGCCCCCCCCCCCCCAATAACCTTGTCAGATTTTAGTCTGGATTAGCACAATAGTGAGTCTTTTTCCTTAATCGTGCATAGACATGGGCTAGACATCAGTGTTGCAAATATAATGCATCTGTTTAGCTGACCTTTTCCATATCCATAAACCTTTTTGAGTTCTTTAATTGAGAGGTGCTGTATAATGATGTAAAGTATTATTATACGTAGAATCCAGTGAGCAAACTTTTAAGTTTGTTTCTCAACCCCACCTGGAATATGGCCATGGATCATAAAGTAAAATGTATGTGATTCTGGAAAGCTAGAAGTTTAAGATGAGACTGAGAAAAATGGTGGTTTCACAACACGTTTTAAAAAAGATTATTGGAAAGGCAAACTGCATAAAATGAAAACTTTATTAAAATAAAGGGAATCTTTATTGTTTTGTTTTTAATGTGCTAGATTAAGGACGAGCCCAAGTACAAACTTTAACATTACTTTTCAAAGTCACCAGGAGTATGTACCTGGAACTTGAGCTCTCTGAACACAGTGGATCATCCATGTTCAGATCTACTCCTTTGCTTATGGGGAGCATGGTCCCTACACTTCCCCTCCCTAGGTTTGGAGATCCTTGCCTGAGGAGGTAAGAGGTTGAGGAATGGTATCATCCTATTCCACTTCCTGCAGAGAGTCATGTTATACAGGAGGTCAGACTAGAAGATCTAATGGTCCCTTCTAGCCTTAAAATGCTTGAATTTACAAAAAAAGTTTATGCCCCTTCAGGCTGCATTAACTTTTCTATATTCCCTCGGCATCCTGTGGTACTCATGCATGCTTCCAGGGACAGCTGTCATTGAGGGAAGTCTGGACAGTGCCAGGGGGGCCCACAGCCTCTCAGACTCTAGTCTTCTGTGGATCTAGTGGAATTTGATGGCTCTGGATTGGAATCCTGTTGGTTTCACAGCAGGGACAAATGCTGATCTCTCAGGAATGGTTAGAGGAAAACTCCGCAAGATCAGCTTTACTAAGTCAGTCCTCTCCACCATAAAAATCCCTGTCTTGGGTTTTTATCAAGAAGGATTGCAGAATATTTATGCATTAAAACAAACAAGAAACAGGGTCTGTTTAATTATAATAATTGTTTTTTGTACTGATGTTCTAAAAGTGTTTTCTTCATAGTTGTATCTGAGCATATGTAGAAATTCTAAAAAAAATACAGTTATTTAGCCAATATAACTTAAAAACAAAATAAAGAGACTAGTCTCCTGTATTTGACTTCACAATGTAGCATTCACATTTTCTGCCCTCACCCCCTCAGGCAAAAGCCTGGGATAACAAGTGTATATGTAATATATATTTCTGGCATGGTTCTTGATTGCTTTATTGTCTTGGATTTAATTTCTACCCTATTCCAAATTTAAGTCCAGATCCTACAAACACTTAGAAATACATTAATTTTAATGGAAAGTCTCTAATATAACAGATAATGATATTGTCAGTTTATAAGTCTCTAAATATTAGCACTTTATTCTGGGGGGAAAATGGCATTCTAAATCTATTGATGTTGAAAACTGCTGCTTCTAATTTGTGAACTTCTGTGACAACAACGTTAGTGGTGTTTTAAGACAATATTATGGACATGCTTTGTCCCAGTGAAATATTATGAACTCAAATATAAAAGAACTGAGCTTATATTCCTGACAGCTCATGGACAGGACTGTGCACCACAAATTTGGTGATGTAAATTTGGAAATGGTGGAATTAAAGTTTTCAGTAGTGAGTTCAGTCAGTTTAGACTAAGTTTCAAAACCCAAAAAAAGGAGAGTTTGGGGGATGAAAATGTGGTCAGTCACCATTTTTTAGTGTTTTGGAAAAATCCTGGACAGGGTTGACATTTTGCCTTCTACTGGAAATTAATTATGTCTATAGGGCAAGGGTTCTCAAACTGGGGGTCGGGACCCCTCAGCGGGTTGCGAGGTTATTACATGGGGGGTCACGAGCTGTCACCCTCCACCCCAAACCCTGCTTTGCCTCCAGCATTTATAATGGTGTTAAATATATAAAAAAGTGTTTTTAATGCATAAGGGGGGTCGCAATCAGAGGCTTGCTGTGTGAAAGGGGTCACCAGTACAAAAGTCTGAGAACCCCTTCTATAGGGCAAGGATCTTTGTTGTTTTATTCCCCTGTGAAGAAGAATATTAAGTGTGCTATTGTTCCATTGTAAATATCTCCAGTGGAAACATTTATGTACTTGGGGCACTCTGGAAAGTTAAGGTGAATCAGTTAAAGATTTGAAGTCAGTGTGCATAAACTCCCATATGGAGGCTCCTACTCAAGAGTAAAACGGTTTTAAATTATAATGAACTAAGACCACTTAGTCCTGAATGAAAGCATCCACACGGGGGTTAAAATGATTTAACTTAGAGTTATGTTTACACTTCAAGTGCTACAGTAGCACAACTGCAGTGCTGCAGCTATGCTGCTGTAATGTAGACACCTACTATAGGTAGTAAATTCCCCCCATTCTGAGGCTTTAGCTAGGTTCATGGAAGAATTTTTCCATGAACCTAGTTGCATTTACAGTGGGGGGGTGGAGGTTCACCTAATGAGGTCACACAGGGTGTGACATTTTTCACAGCCTTTAGTGATGTAGCTAGGTCAACCTAAGTTTTAGGTGTAGGCCAGGACTTATGTACATGAACCTCACACCTTTAGTTGATTCACCTTAACTTTCCTGAGGGTTTGTCTACATGGTGTGGCAGTGCTCACCAAAAGGGTATATGTAAATTGTAGAGTTGCATGCCAACTGTCCTGTGTAGACCCTGCTGACACATTGTAAAAGGTTCCTAGTGTGTGTTAATGTAGTGCTGTTTCAAACGAGACTGTCTGTGCACGCTAGGTACCTTTTAGAGCATGTCAGCAAGGTCTACACGAGGCAGTTAGAATGCAATACATTAAAGCATTCTACAGTTTACAGCCTTGTAATGCGCACTGCTGCACTGTGTCGACAAGTTTGAGTGTCCCTTTGTAGAAAAGCCCTTAGGCTCTGCATGCTTGGAGTAGCTTGCAGGAATGGGCTCCTAATTCCAGTTTGTTAGAAATATTGTCAGATAGATTAGGCTTAATTTAGTTTTGGTTTTAAAAAATGCAATTTCCCCCTTTAATATTAAGAGACATGTTTTTGTGACATTAAAGATAAATAAATTACAAATTTTCTCTTTGGGTTTAAACATTATCCTGCAATGTTTGCTAGTTAGCATTGTTCAGGAGAACCTGAAAGTGAAACTGATGTGTCTATTTGTTTTGTTCAAACTGAGTGAAGGGCTAAAATTAAAGCAGCAAATTAAATTATTTCAGTTGAAATCATCTAAATTGTTACGTTTTTCATTTGACTAGACTTTTTAATGAAAGCTGCCTTCTCAAATCGCCACATAGTGATTGGAGAATAGACTAAGGCCCTTAGCATGCAGTCTGATCTGTGTAGGTGGATGCTTATACTCAAATGAAGTCCCACTGAAGATTCTGAGTCTCCACATGGACACACTGAAATACAGATAAAGACCCTTGAACAAATAGCGAATCCCCACATACAAATTGCTTGATGTCCCTAAAGAGCAGAAATTTAACTGTTGACAAGACATGGACTGTCAGCAAGGCACAAACCATTGGCTCCAGCTATTAACTCTGGAGTGGGCACTCTTATTAGAGAGTTTTTCACAACATTTATCTTCAGTTACACAGATTCTGTCAGTTACTTTATTTTAGTACTTTTCAGTGAAGTTAAAAACACTATCCCATCTGTTTAGCTCATTAGTACTATATATACATTCTAAACATTCAATTATTTTTAGGGTTTTTTAATCTTCATATTTATATAGCAGAGTGTCCTTTTATATATTAGCAACAATGCTTTAAGCTACACATGCAATAATTAACATACCGATTGAACATATCTTTCTTACATATAGTACACATTAATATAAAATAACACATACAAAGACTATTACAATAGGATTTGTGATTAAAAATGATCTTGAACAGATTGTATAATGAGATTTTTTTTCATATGTAGTTAGCAGTTCAAATAATATATCAGAAAAACTTAAAATTATTTTCTCATATTGCTTGGTGTGTGTCTTGATTTTTTTTAAAATATTTTTTTAAATGTGCAGAAAGAAGATTTACCTTCCTTTGGAAATGTACTGAAAAGTATATCATGCAGAGTGATAAATCTACATACACATATATTTCTAATGAAATTTTTAATGTATTGAAATGATTCTGGTAACCCAATCTACACAATGTCTGGAATTATCTATTAAAAAAAAATCAGTACTTTTGCTCCAAAATTC